CCACAGGTGCCACCCTTTTCCTTACTTCTTTTTTTTGGTACACAGAGGTGATAAAATTGGAGAGAGGCCATAATTGACTAGACAAAGTACAATCAAAATAGTAGCAATATTAACTATCAAAATTGGTGGAAATAGCCAACTATCAAAATTTTAAAAATCAAATCAATACTTTGCAATGTTAGGACTATGCAAGTATTGTTTAATTCTACAAAAGAGTGTGCTATTATTATAACTTCTTTCATGTATGATGTATTGTTTTTCTTTATGTTAAGCATTGCCTTTCCTTTACTCTGTTTTTCCACATATCTAAAATTTTTTCCAAAAGATCTTAACATTTCTGCCACAGGTCTTATCAACAGTATTCTCCATGCTCTCAGATACATAATTTCTACTGTTTTCCTGGACACCTTCATTCCTGAGTCCATCTTCTGGCTCTAACCTGGACCTGTTGACATCTGGGCAATACAGTTGTGTTGATACTCCACTGCTGTCCTGCATTCTTTAATACTTTTTTTTGAGATAGAATCTCACCTTGCCACCCCAGTAGAGTGCCATGGAGTCATAGCTCACAGCAACTTCAAACTCTTGGGCTCAAGCGATCCTTTTGCCTCAGCCTGTAGAGGCGCCCACCACAGTACCTGGCTATTTCTTTTAGAGAGAGGGTCTCTCTGTGGCTCAGGCTGGTCTTGAACCTGTGAGCTTAGGCAGTCCACCTGCCTCAAGCTCCCAAAGTGCCAGGATAACAGGTGTGAGCCACTGCATCCAGCCTCTGTGTTTCTTCTCTTCTTCTTTTGTTTTTTAGAGCCAGAGTTTTACCTTGTCACCCTCGGTAGAATACTGTGGCATCACAGCTCAACAGCAACCTCCAGCTCTTGGGCTTAGGCGATCCTCTTGCCTCAGCCTCTCAAGTAGCGGGGACTGCAGGCACCCACCACAATCCCTGCCTGTTTTTTTGTTGTAGTTTGTTCGGGGCCAGGTTTGAACCTGCCACCCTCAGTATATGGGGCCAGCGCCATACTCAATGAGCCACAAGTGCCACCCATGTTTCTTCTGGTTTATTCATTAGCTTTACTGGCATTCATCATCCAAGTACTTCCCATTTGAGCTTTTTGGGGGGCTCTTTTCCTCCCTTTTACAGATGTTTGGATTCCATCTTCCCTTTTCTTATGCCATATTTTATCTATTTATTTATTTTAGAGATGAGTCTCAGTCACCTGGGCCAGAGGGCAGTGGTGTCACCACAGCTCACTGCAACCTCAGATTCCTCCCAAGTAGTTGGGACTACAGGCATGAGCCACCACCCCCAGCCTTTGGAATTGTTTTCCAAAATATTGATTGTAATCTTTTTTCTTCTTTAGGGTTAAAATTTTTTTTTAGGGTTAAAATATTTTTAATCTTTTTATTGTCATCTAAGGTTCTGATAGGGAGAAGAGATAAACTTAAGTATTCAATTCATGATTTTAAACTGCAATCCAGGTATAGTATTTGAAAGGAGGGACACATCCTTGATTCAGCAGCTAGGGCGCCTGCCACATACATCGGAATTGGCAGATTCAAATCCAGCCTGGGCCTCCCAAATAACAATGACAACTACAACCAAAAAATAGCCAGGTGTTGTGGTGGGCGCTTGTAGTCCCAGCTACTTGGGAGGCTGAGGCAATAGAATTGCTTAAACCCAAGAGTTTGAGGTTGCTGTGAGCTGTGACGCCACAGTACTCTACCCAGGGTGACAGCTTAAGACTCTGTCTCAAAAAAAAAAAAAAAAAAAATAGGAGAGAAGATGAGATATACAGGAGATCTAGTGCTGTGAACGTGAAAGAGATTCACAGTGATGGGCTTCAATTTTACCCATGAAATATGAGGCTAGGTCACTAGCTGAGGGTAATGATGGACGAGAACCTGGAGGTGAGTAAGGCATCTGGAAGGAGGAAAGGAAAGAGGGCTATCTCAGTGAATGGAAATTAGATGTATGGTGTTATAGGCTGAATTGTGTGTTCCCAAATCCTTTAGTATGTTGAAGTCCTAATCCCTGGTATCTCAGAATGCAACTGTATTTGGAGATAAGGTCCTTAAATGTGGTAATTAAACTAAAATGAGGCTTTAGGGTTGGCCCAAATTCAGTATGGCTGATGACATTTCAAGAAGAGGACATGTGGAAACACAGACTGACACGTGTACACACAGAAGATCAACCATGTGAAAACAGCAAGGAGACAGCCATCCAAAAGCAGTTTTCAGAGAAAACCAAACCTGCCAACACCTGGATCTTGTACTTCTAGCCCTTAGAACTTGTGGGAAAAAACATTTTTGTTTTTAATGGCTGGTGTGGTGGCTTATAATCCTAGCATTCTGGGAGGCCAAGGTGGGTGGATCGCTTAAGCTTAGGAATTGGGAGACCAGCCTGAGCGAGCAAGAGACTCTGTCTCTACTAAAAGTAGAAAAACTAGCAGGAGTTGTGGTAGGCACTGGTAGTCCCAGCTACTAGGGAGACTAAGGCAAAGACATCACTTGAGCCAAACAGTTTGAGGTTGCTATGAGCTATGTTGAGGCCCTGGCACTCTACCCAGGCATGTACTTTCTGCCACTTACTTGCCAGGAAAACTAAGAATCTGCTCAAGGATTAACTCTTGTGAAGCTTTTCCTGACTGCCCAGGCAATGTTGAGAAACAGCCCCATTCCCTGGGCTCAACAATTAAGACAGAGCACCATGAGCTATAAAACAGATGTAAGCCATACATCACACACAGAAATAGGTTGGCACAGATACATTTTGTTATATGTGATTATGAGTTCTGAGGTGGCCATGAACCTTTCCTTACTGGCAAAAAAAGATAAGAGCTATCACTGTTAACAGTTACAGACAAGGAGAAAAGTCACATTTTAACAGCATTGCCTTGGGGAAGTGACTAAAAACTACATGTTATAGTACCTAGTGCTCTGGGTGTTACAGCACCTAGTGCTAGTGTGTGCTATGTTAAATATGGTGCTCAGATAAGCCCAGTCTTAGAATTCTACCTTTACTGTTTCATTAGTTCTGTGAACATGGGAATGTCATTGCTAAGCTTCACTTTCACATCTGTATGAGGATATCTATTTCACAAGATTTTTTTTTTTTTTTAGAAAGTCTCACTTTGTTGTCCTAAGTAGAGTGCCATAGCATCACAGCAACCGCCAGCTCTTGGGCTTAGGTGATTCTCTTGCCTCAGCCTCCTAAGTAGCTGGAACTACAGGCACGGGCCACAACGCCCGGCTATTTTTTTGTTGTTGCAGTTTGGCTGGGGCTGGGTTCCAATCTGCCACCCTCAGTGTATGAGGCCAGTGTTGTATTCACTGAGCCACATGCACTGCCCCCAACCTCCAACTCTTGGGCTTAAGCGATTCTCATGCCTCAGCCTCCCAAGTAGGTGGAACTACAGGTGGCCGCCACAACACCCTGCTGTTTTTTTGTTGTTGTTGTTGTTGCTGTTTTAGCTGGCTAGGGCCGGGTTTGAACTCACCACCCTCAGTATATGGGGCCAGCGCCCTACCCACTGAGCCACAGGCACAACCCACAAGACTTTTTAAAATTAAATAAGATTAACTTTATATTAAAATGTATGTCTTGGCCAGGTACCTGTAATCCTAGCACTCTGGGAGGCTTGGGCAGGTGGATTGCCTGAGCTCACCAGCTAGACCTCATCTCTAAAAATAGCTGGGCATTGCGGCAGTCACCTGTAGTACTCCTAGCTACTCTGGAGGCTGAGGCAAGAGAATCACTTGCACCCAAGAGTTTGAGGTTGCTATGAGCTGTGATACCACAGCATTCTGCAAAGGGTGACAAAGTGAGACTCAAAAAAAATTTTTTTTCAAGTAGTGAATTGTATGCAAAAGTATATTTCAAAAAAGCTATGTTTGTTTATATATGTATTTTTTAAGAGATAGGATCTTGCTGTGTTGTCCAGGCTGTATTCCTAACTCCTTGGTTCAAGTGATCCATGCCCTTGCTGCCAGAGTACCTGGGACTACCAGCAGGCACCACTGCATTCAGCCAAAAAGATGTTTTGTTTTTTGAAGCTATTACCCTGGATAGAGTGCCATAGCATCACAGCTCACAGCAACCTCCAACTCCTGGGCTCAAGTGATTCTCCTGCCTCGGCCTCCCAAGTAGCAGGACTACAGGTGCCCACCACAACGCCAGGCTATTTTTTGGTTGCGGCCGTTGTTGTTTGGAAGCCCCGGGCTGGATTCGAACCTGCCCGCTCAGGTGTATGTAGCTGGCACCTTAGCTGCTTGAGCCACAGGCGCCAAGCCTATTTTTTGTTTTTTTGAGACAGAGTTTCAAGTTGTCGCCCTGGGTAGAGTCCCATGGCGTCACAGCCATTCTCTTGCCTCAGCCTCCAAGTAGCTGGGACTACAGGCGCCCGTCACAACGCCTGGCTGTTTTTTGATTGTGGTTGTCATTGTTGTTTAGTGGGCCCAGGCTGGATTCAAACCCACCAGCGCCGGTGTATATGGCTGGCACCCTAGCTGCTTGAGCTACAGGCGCCACCCCAAAAAACTGTTTTTTTAAAAAACCTTCGGGTAAATGCCTTTTAGTGAATTTACTTTATCTTTTTTTTTTTTTAAAGACAGTCTCTGTCACCCTGTGTAGAGTACAGTGGCATCATCTTACTTTTACTTCATTTAAATGTCCACTTTTAGTAGTGAAATCTCAGAAAAATGTTATTTATATGAGTGTGTTTAACTGAAACAGTCGTTTCCATTTAAGTTTAGGTGATTATCCTTGACAGAAGGTAAGTAAGGTTGCATAATAAAACCTGCATTAAATCTCACAGGTAAGCAGTGACCCCAAATCGTAGTTTTGAGGCTTACAAGCAGCTTTCCTTCAAAATACACTTTACATCATCTATGGCTCCGGAGATCCCTATCTTCCTATCAGGCTTAAGATACAAGAAATAGGACAGTTATTATTTTAAGTTATTAGGGCGTTTAGAGCCCCATATATTCAGTATGCAGGCCACCACGCTCAAGTTCCTTTTAATAAGATTGGTCCAAACGCTCACATTATAGGAAGGCTAGTCTTTCAGTTCCAGGAGCAGGCAGACAGGGCAGCCCCGTGACGTACAAAATCGAGGGGTGACGGCTCAGGGTTAGGACCATTTCTTGGTGACATTGAGATGGCTGAGCTGGTCTGCAACCAATCTGTGCGGAGGGAACTTGGAAGTGGCGGCCGCCTTGATGGCCTCAAAGGCCTGGGCCTTGCGCGCCGCGGCGTGGCCATACTCCTGCTCGGCAGTCATGTAAGGCATGCTCAGCCAATAGTGGTTCTCCGCCTCGATCTCCAGGCGCCGGATCATTCCCTGCTTCGCGTGCCACGATACGAACCGCGGCCGCCGGTGCTTCCCGATCCACTGCCGGCCAGGAATGCGGCCGCGCCGAAGGAGGGCGGTCAGGAACATGGTGCCTGCCGAGGAGAGGAGCTAGAAGCCAGAGACGCTAGCAGCTGGTATGCGGTCCTGCTCACACGCCACCCTCCTCCCGCCGCCTACAGGCGTCCCCGAGAACGCGCAATGCCCCCCACTCCGCGCGCAAGAAATAGGAATCCAGAGGATGGTGGCCAGCGCAAGAACCTCCTGGAGCATGGAATGGGCCCAGCAACTCACCGGACGCGTCACGATACAGTCTGCGTCCTCCAAGCGGCAGGCGCTGTGGCAGGAGGGCGCCGCTACCACAGGATCGCCCAGTCTCTTCGCGCGAGACTTTGCTCTCTCACGAGAGTACATTTCGCGTCTGCGCAGAACCGAAGCTACGTAGTCCTCTAGAGATTCAAATTGGTGGCGGGCAGGTCTGAACCTCCTGACGAAGTCCGCTAGTACCTGGAGCTCTGCGCCGCGGTATTGTTTACCAATGGACCTGATCCGGAGCTTCTGCGGGAAGCTGCGGTCTCTGGCTAGCACCCTAGACTGCGAGACGGCCCGGCTGCGGCGAGCGCTGGATGGAGAGGAAAGCGGTGAGTGGGGTTGCGGGCCTGGGCGCGCGGCTCTGGGACCCCCAGGTGTGGCGGGCGGTAGGGCAGCACCAGGGGAAACGAAGGGACTTAAAGGAATGGGCATGCTTTCGCGTCACATGTAATATTGTGTGCTTGTTAATCAGATACCATATAAAGAAAATTATACAGTGCAGCTTTTGGCATTATTCTTTATACTTTACACGTATATAGCGACTTCTCTCGCCTAAATTGTCCACAGTTATAGTGAACACCTGTATTTTCCCAGTAAACCAACCATGTTGCCAACACAAATGCTAGTTAGTATTCAGTACTGCTGGGGGGGGAGGGGGTTAATAAAGTAACATTCATCACCACTCACCGTTACATTAGAGATTTTAAGCTTTATTTTTTAGAGACAGAGTCTCACTTTGTCTCCCTCCGTAGAGTGGTGTGGCGTCACAGCTCACGGCAACCTCCAGTTCTTGGGCTTAGGCGATTCTCTTGCCCCAGCCTCCGGAGTAGCTGGTACTACAGGGGCCTGCCACAATGCCTGGCTATTTTTTTGTTGCAGTTTGGCCGGGGCCGGGTTTGAATCCGCCACCCTCGGTGTCTGGGACCAGCGCCCTACTCACTGAGCCTCAGGCACGGCCCGAGATTTTATGTTTTTACAAAGGTAGTTCAGATTTAGAGATTTATTTCATAAATGTCATAACTGTAATGCATCGTAAAATGTTGCACCGTATTGACTTATTTTACTTTAATTGTATTAGAATAGATCTCCAACTATTTGAAAAAAAATTTTTTTGTCTGGCTTGGCGCCCACAGCTCAGTGAGTAGGGCACCGGCCACATACACGAAGGCTGGTGGGTTTAAGCCTGGCCTGGGCCTGCTAAACAACAATGACAAGTGCAACAACAACAAAAATAGCTGGGCAGTGTGGCGGGCGCCTGTAGTCCCAGCTACTTGGGAGGCAGAGGCAAGAGAATTGCTGAAGCCCAAGAGTTGGAGGTTGCTGTGAGCTTTGATGCCATAGCACTCTGCTGAGGGTGACAAAATGAGGCTGTCTCAAAAAATAAATAAGTAATAAGTTTTTTTTTCTTTTGAGACAGGGTTTCACTGTTGCCTTGGGTAGAATGCCGCTTCTGCCCACCTCATAACAATCTCGAACTGCTGGGCTCAAGTGATCCTCCTGCCTCAGCCTCCCAAGTAGCTGGGCTACAGACTCCTAGGACAACACCCAGCTACTGTTTTCTATTTTTAGTAGGAATGGGTCTTATTCTTGTCTAGGCTGGTCTCCAACTCCTAAGCTCAAGCAGTCCTCCCTCTTCAGCCTCTCAGAGTGCTAGGATTACAGGCATGAGCCACTGTGTCCAGCCTGAAGATGTTTTGTGCACTGTAGGAAATTTGAGATATGGAAAAGTAGAAAAAGATTGATAAATTGATAAAAAAGATAAATATTGTCCATAACTCTACCACTTGAAGACACCACTATTATTAATATTTTAGGAGTTTTTCTACTTTTTTTTTTGGAAACAGTCTCACTTTGTTCCCCTGGGTAGAGTGCTGTGGCATCGTGGTAGCTCACAGCAGCCTCAAACTGTTGTGCTCAAATGATCTTCTTGCCTCAGCCTCCCAAGTAACTGGAGACTACAGGTGCCTACCTCAACAACCGGCCATTTTTAGAGACAAGGATCTCACTCTTGCTCACTTTGGTCTGGAACTCTTGAACTCAGGCGATTCACCCGCCTTAGCCTCCCAGAGTGCTAAGATTATAGGTGTGAGCCACCTTGCCTGGCTGTGCCACTCTTATTTTATGGCTTTTTTGTTTTTATTTTGTTGATATAGTGGAGATAATAAAAATAGACACAAAATTGCATTAATATTTTTGGATTCTTGGTATATGCTGAATTGCTTTCCACAAAGCTTGTGCTAAGGGCGGCGCCTGTGGCTCAGTGAGTAGGGCGCTGGCCCCATATACTGAAGGTGGCAGGTTTGAACCCTGCAACGGCCAAACTGCACCAAAAAATAGCCGGGCATTGTAGTGGGTGCCTATATTCCAGGTACTGGGGAGGCTGAGGCAAAAGACCCCACTAAGCGCAAGAGCTGGAGGTTGCTGTGAGCTGTGACATCACAGTACTCTACTGAGGGTGACAAAATGAGACTCTGTCTCAAAAAAAAAAAAAAAAGGTTGTGCTAAGTTACCTTAGCAACATATTACCTCTGCACAAACTCTGCATTTCCTTTTGTTTTTACAAGAAAAGGTTAGAATCGTTCCTGGCCCATATGTATTACAGAAAATATGGAATTGTAGTAATTTGAGAAGATGATCTCAGTTTCACCTTTTATGATCACAGTGCTGAATAATTAAATTGATTGGCTTCTAAATATCTTTGTCTGGTGCAGTGGCTCACACCTGTAATCATTACAGTTACTTTTTGTAATGTGCTTTGGGAAGTGGACGCAGGAGGATAACTTGAAGCTAGAAGTTTGAGACCAGCCTGAACAATACAGTAAGACCTCATCTCTACAAAAATTGGAAAATTAGCTGGGCATAGTGGTGCAGACCTGTAGTCCCAGCTAGTCAGGAGACTGAGGCAGGAGGATTGTTTGAGGCTACAGTGAGCTATGATGACACCACTGCACTCTAGCCTGGGTGATAGAACAAGACACTGTCTCAAAAAAAGAAATGTAATTCAAATACCATAAAAATCATTTAAAGGATATAATTCACTGGGTTTTAAGACATTCACAGAGTTTTCCACCAATATAACAAAAAGTTTAGATTTTCATCACTCTGAAAAGAAACTCCTGTGCCCATTTAGTCACTTATGACCACTTTCACCACACCAGCTAACTGATTTTCTGTATCTGTAGATTTGCCTGTACTGGACATTTCATATAAATGGAATCATACATTATGTAGTTTTTTGTGACTGAGTAATTTCACTTAGTATAATGTTTCAATGTCCATCCATGTTGTAGCATATATCATGGTTCCATTTCTTTGCTGAGTAATAATCCATTGTATGGATATATCATACAGACATTTGTCTTCTACTTTTTGGCTACTATAGTATTGCTGTAAGCATTCATGTGAAAGGTTTTTTTTCTCTTCTCTCGAGACAGAGTCTCACTATGTCACCCTCAGTAGAGTGCTATGGCATCATAGCTCACAGCAACCTCAAACTCTTGAGCTTAAGCGATTCTCCTGCCTCAGCCTCCCACGTAGCTGGGATTACAGGCCCCCACCACAATGCCTGGGTATTTTTTTGTTATTGTTGTTCAAGAGGCCTGGGCCCGGTTCAGACCCACCAACCCCTGTGTATGTGGCCAGTGCCCTAACCACTGAGATATGGGCATCAAGCCTCATGTGAAAGTTTTTGTATGAAGGTGTTTTCCGTTCTCTTGGGCATATACCCAGAGGTGGAATTGCTAAGTCATATGGTAACTCTATGTTTAACTTTTTGAGGAGCTGTCAAATTGTTTTTTGAAATGGCTGTACTGTTTTATATTTCTATCATCAATGAGTAAAGATTTCAGTTTCTCCATATCTCACCATCATATGTTACTTATCTTTCTTATTATACTCTCATGAATATGAAATGGAATCTTATTGTAGTTTTGATTCGCATCTCCCTAATGAATCTTGGTCAACTTTAAACAGGTAGAAGGAGAAGATCTTCAGATGAGATATCCCTGAGAAAAGAAATAAAATCCTTTTAAAAATTAATTTGCATTATAAATATAACCAACTGATTAATGTCAAAGGTAACAGTGCACTAGATAAAGGATGTCTTTTCAGTAAGTGGTACAAGGTCAGTTGTATGTCTTTATGGAAAGAAAGAATAGATCTTCATCTTTACTTAACAGCATCCACAAAAATCAAAGCCAGGCTCCATGCCTATAGCTCAGTGGTTAGGGCACCAGCCACATGCACCAGGGCTGGTGGGCTTGAATCTGGCCGAGGCCTGCTAAACAACAACAACAAAAAAAAAAAATAGCCAGGTGTCGTGGCAGGCACCTGTAGTCCCAGCTAATAGGGAGGCTGAGGCAAGAGAATTGCTTTAGCCCAAGAGTTTGAGGTTGCTATGAGCTGTGACCCCAGGGCACTCTACTGAGGCGACATAGTGAAGACTCTGTTCCCAAAAAAAAAAAAAAAAATCAAATCCAGATGCAAAGAGTAAAAGCTCTTAGAAATAAAAATGAAAGATACATTTGTATTAGACCGGGCGCAGTGGCTCATCCTTGTAATGCCAGCACTCTGGGAGGCTTAGGTGGGTGAATTGCCTGAGCTCAGGAGTCTGGGACTCCATCTCTAAAAATACCTAGGTGCTATGGCTGGTGCCTGTAATCCTAGCTGAGGAGGCTGAGGCAAAAGGATCACTTAAGCCCAAGTATTTGAGGTTACTGTGAGCTGTGACACTGTTGCACTCCACAGAGGGCAACAAAGTGACACTCTGTCTCAAAAAAAAAAAAAAAAAGATCCATGTGTATTATCATTGGTAAGGATTTTTTATTTTTTTTTATTTATTTTTTTTTTAATTTCTTTATTTTATTTTTTTTGTTGTTGCAGTTTTTGGCCAAGGCTGGGTTTGAACCCACCACCTCTGGCATATGGGGCTGGCGCCCTACTCCTTGAGCCACAGGCACTACCCGGTAAGGATTTTTTAAACAGGAACCAAAGAGTGCTTGTCATAAAGGAAAAACTTGATAAGTAGGACTACATTAAAATTAAGAAAGTATGGTTATCAAAATGAAGAGGTGAAAAAGCAGATTATAGAGTGGGAGAAGATACTGCTGTACGTACGTCTGACAAAAGACTTGTATCCAGGTGGTGCCCAAAGCTCAGAGAGTAGGGCACCAGCCACGTACTCCAATGCAGGCAGGTTCGAACCTAGCCCAGGCCTGCTAAACAACAATGATGACTGCATCAACAACAAAAAAACAGCTGGGCATTATGATGGGCACCTATAGTCCCAGCTACTTGGGAGTCTGAGGCAAGAGAATTGCTTAAGCCCAAGAGTTGCTGTAAGCTGTGATACTACAGCACTCTACAGAGGGTGACAAAGTGAGACTCTGTCTCAAAAAAAAAAAAAAGACTTGTATGCAAAATGTATAGACACTATCTATAAATTACTAAAAAGCAGACAATGCAGTAGAAAAAATGCAAAACTCTTAAATTGACGCTACAAAGGAAATTACCTTCAGATGTCCATTACACGTATGGAAAGACATTATTTTCATTAGTCCTCAAGGGAATACAACTTCTATCCCAGTGCAGGCAGCAGATGAGGAAACCCCAACCACTGCTACTCTTTTTCCACCAGCCAAGAAGATTGCAGGTGTTCAGATTGAGCATGCCTACCAAAAGCAGCCAACCGTCTTCCAAAACATGAAGAGGGTCCTGCTGGGAGAAACTGTCAAGGAGAAGAATACCACAAGAACATCAATCTAGGCTTCAAGTCACCTGAAGAGGCCTTTGAGGATACCTTCATTGACAAGAAAAGCCCTTCACTGGTCATGTCTCCATCTACAGGGGATCCTGTTCAACTGTGGTCTAAATGAAGATGCAGAGGACCATTGTCATCTGGGGAATTTACTACATCCACAAGAAGCTCCCCAAGAACATGTCCACGCACCTGTCCTCGTGTCAGATGGGTGACTTTGTCATAGTAGTGAGTACCAACCCCAGAGCAAGATGGTACATGTCAGTATCCTGTATTGCACCAGGAAGCAATTACAGAAGTTCTAAGATAGGACATCTGCCCACTTCCCAAAATGAAATATTTTCTCGTTGGAAAAATCACAATGCGGCTCAAGCGGCTAAGGCTCCAGCCACATACACCTAAGGTGGTGGGTTCGAATCCAGCCTGAGCCACCAAACAACAGTGACGGCTACAACCAAAAACATAGCTGGGTGTTGTGGCAAGCACCTGTGATCCCAGCTGCTTGGGAGGCGGAGGCAGGAGACTCACTTGAGCCCAGGAGTTGGAGGTTGCTGTGAGCTGTGATGCCACAGCACTCTACCCAGGGTGATAGCTTGAACCTCTGTCTCATAAAAAAAAAAGAAAAATCACAATGCAGTACAGTTACCCACCAAGAACAGTAAAATGAAAAAAATACCAAGTGTTTGCAAAGATATGGAACAAATGCAGTTTTCACACACTGCCAGTAGGAATATAAATTTATTTATTTTATTCTTTTTTGAGACAGAGTCTGTTGCCCTGGGTAGAGTGCCATGGTGTCACAACTCACAGCAACCTCAAATTCTTGGGCTTACGCAATTCTCTTGCCTCAGCTTCCCAAGTAGCTGGGACTACAGGCATCTGCCACAACACCTGACTATTTTTTGGCTGTAGTTGTCATTGTTATTTGGCAGGCCGGGGCTGGATTCGAACCGGCACCAGCTCCGTTGTATGAGGCTGGCGCCCTAGCTGCATGAGCTACAGTTTCTGTTGGTCAACGTCTGCTAAAGTTGACTGTATGCATAGTCTGACACTTTTTAAAGTCTTGGTCTCTTGCATACAGAAATGTGAAAACATTGGTACCAAAGACATGTTTTAGAAAGTTCAAAGCAAGAGTATTCCTAAGCTGGGTGAGGTGGCTAACATCTACCTGTAATCAGCACTTGGGAGGCCACGGAGGGTAATCTGCTTGAGCTCATGAGTTTGAGACCAGCCTGAGCAAGGGTGAGATCCCATCTCAAAGAAAATAGCTGGGCATTGTGGCAGAAGCCAGTAGTCCCAGGTATTTGGGAGGCTGAGGCAAGAGAATCGCTTAAGCCCAAGAGTTTGAGGTTGCTGTGAGCTGTGACACTTTGGCACTCTACTACATGGATGTATTAGATTATGAATATGGAGGAGTGTCACCAAGCATGCTTGAGTTATCACAAATGAGTACCTAATGTATGAATCCATTAAATAAATTCACAAACAAGCAAAACCACTTCATGGTGTTAGAAATCATATTTACCCTTGGAGAGGAGAGACTATAGGAGGCTTCTAGAGTTCTAACATGTTCTGGTCTCCTTCCTTTCCTGATGAACTGAGGGCTGTTTATGCAGGTGTGTTCATTTTATAAAGTTTATCAAGCTGTATACTTATGATTTGTTTACTTTATGTTAAATACTCATATGTTGCTTAATAATGACAATACAAGAAACAAGTGATTTCATCCTTGTGCATAGAGCACTTACACAAACCTAGGTATATAACTTACTGCACACCTAGGCTATACTAAAATGTTACTGTACTGAATACTGTAGGCAATTGTAGCATAAGGGTAAGTAATTGTGTAGACATGTCTAAACATAGAAAAGGTACAGAAAAATACAGTATTTTAATCTTAAAGGACTACCATCATAAATGTGATCCATCATTGGCCAAAATGTCATTATGTGGCACATGACTATATACTAAATTTTCTATATTTTTCTCCCTTTTCCTCACATTTATTGGACTTTTTTCCTTTCAATATTCATGTTGAAGGCCTTGAAGATTATCCAGTGACAATTTTACATGACCTTCATTCAGAAGTCCAGGCTCTAAAGGTATCTCTCCTATATATTAATGTATCATTTTTCTGTGGTAATTTTTTTGGACCTATATAGACTTAGAAGTTAGAGAAATTATAATGTACTTTCTTTCCCTATAAAAGGATGATGTTAATATTCTTCTTGACAAAGCAAGATTGGAAAGTCAGAACAACTTTGGTTTCATAAAGGCAACAAAAGTGCTGATGGAAAAAAATTCAATGGATATTATGGAAATAAAAGAGTTTTTCCAGAGGTATGGATATACTCCACGTGTCAAGAAAAATTCAGGTTTGAATAACTTTCATTTTATAGCACTTGTTTAAAAAGGCAGCATGATTAACTAAGACAACTGTAGGCTTAGCTATGATTTTGAGTTTTGGCTCTGCCATTATCTGACCATTTAACAAACATTTATTTGAGCCAAACACAGTGGCTCATGCCTGTAATCCTAGCACTCTGGGAGGCCGAGGCAGGAGAGTACCTTGAGCTCAGGAATTCAAGACCAGCCTGGGCAAGAGCAAGAACCCATCTTTACTAAAAATAGAAAAATTAGCAGGTGTGTGGTGGATGCCTATAGTCCCAGTTACTTGGGAGGCTGAGGCAGGAGGATCACTTGAGCCCAAGAGATTAAGGTTGCTGTGATCTAGGCTGATGCCACAGCATTCAAACCTAGATAACAGTGAGACTCTGCTCCAGTGACCAAAAAAAAAAAAAAATGTATTCAACCCTCACTGTGTGCTGGATCGCTGGATACATTCAAGTGTATTATACAGTACAATTATACTGCTGATCGGTAGTACAATATGAAGACAGCCCTTGCTCTCCTTTCCAAAATGCTAGATGAGAGCTAACGCAGTGCCAGGTGAAAGTTCTTTGAGCTATTTAAATGAGAGAGTAGGCTGGGCATAGTGGCTCACACCTGTAACTAGCACTTTGGGAGGCCAAACTTTGAGAGCAGCCTGAAAAGCATAGCAAGACCCTGTGTCTACAAAAATTAGAAAATTTAGCCAGGTATGATGGTGGACAACTGTAGTCCCAGCTACTTAAGAGGCTGAAGCAGGAGTATCATTTGAGCCCAGGAATTTGATGTTGCTGTGACCTATGATGACATCACTGCAGTTTATCCCAAGCAACAGAACAAGATCCCATCTCAAAAATAAATAAATAAATACAAAATAAGTCTCCATGACTTAGGATAGGTGGTTTGTACTAAGCCCTGCCAATATAATAGCTGAGAGACCTATTTCACTTTTCTTATACTTATTTTCCTCTTCTGTAGAATGAGAGATTTTGGCTGTATAAGTTGATAAAGTCCTTTTCTTGGTTTTAAAGTTTTAATGAAGGGTAGGATAGCATAGTGGTTTAGAATTTGACCAAAAATGTTTTGAGTTTTTTTGTTGTTTGTTTGTTTAGACAGAGTCTCACTTTGTTGCCCCCAGTAAAGTGCTGTGGTGTGATATTATAGCTCACAGCAACCTCAAACTCTTGGGCTCAAGTGATTCTCTTGACTACAGGTGCCCACCACAGTGCCTGGCTACTTTTAGAGACGAGTCTTGCTCTGGCTCAGGCTAGTCTTGAACCTGTAAGCTCAGGCAATCTACCACCTCAGCCTACCCAAGCTAGGATTACAGGCATGAGCCACCACACTTGGCAAATGCTTGAATTTAAATGTGTATTTTATCACTTAATAGCTGTATTATCTTTGTCAAGTTACTTAAACTTGTGTGTCCATTTTCCGTCTATAAAGTGGAGATATTTAATGTGTCTACCTCATGAGGTTATATAAGAATTAAATGAGAAGGCTCGGCGCCTATAGCTCAACCGGCTAAGGCGCCAGCCACGTACACCTAAGGTGGCGGGTTCGAATCCCCAGCCCGGACCCGCCAAACA